TTAAATTTCTCTGATTTAAGACTTTAGTTTTGCTAGTAACTACAAGTAACTGATTTAAGACTTTAGTTTTGCTAGTAACTACAAGTAACTGATTTAAGACTTTAGTTTTGCTAGTAATTATAAGTCACTGATTTAAGACTTTAGTTTTGCTAGTAGCTATAAGTAACTGATTTAAGACTTTAGTTTTGCTAGTAACTATAAATAACTGACTTAAGACTTTAATTTTGCTAGTAACTATAAGTAACTGATTTTCTTATGATCACAAAAGCGATGTTATATTATTCTTATGATAAGATTATTTCTGCCTTTGTTTGGAGGTTTACTTCGAGTTTGGGATCTCTTCAGCCAGTACGGTCTAAAACCCATTCTTCCACCTATGTCAGATAATCCAGATATGGACTGTACGGCGAGACCGCAAAATCTGTTTTGCTTTCTTGCTGGTGAGTAGATAGATAGGGAGAAAAATAAAGAATTAAATTAATTTTTCGGATGATCTTTGAGTTTTAGTGCTGATTATTGTTTTGCTTTAGTCTTATTTTATAGTTCAAGACTAAATCTTAAAAGAATTTCAATTCAAAACCATGATGTGAACTATACGTTTTGGGAGAACGTAACAATATAATAGTTATTTAAACAGCATAGAAAATTAATCTTTAAACAATATTTCTTTGTAGTATTTCCCCATATCTATCGATTACATTCAATAGAATAATTTGATCTAGTGATTAGTAAGCCGAGATGCGAATCGGAAGGTTCAAGGTTCGAGACTCGACATGCTGATGAACCGCTCTGCACTTTCAATTGTGAGAGCGTTATAACTGTGACAGTCAATCTAGCTACTTATGTAGGAATAAACACACAAGTGGCAGGAGCCGCTGAATGGTTACCCTTTCTAAGGCTAGGACTTGCTAAACAGGAATGATTATTCCTGAACCTTAGGAATGTCTGATGTGTCGCATAACTTTAGGGATGTGTCGCATAAGGTAACATTCATATAGAAGTTAAAAACACCAGCTTCGAATTCAGTTTCATTGATCTTCCTTTCATCTAATAATTATCTCTGTAACATCGCAAACTGAAGTTAAATAACTGATTAACTGATTTGAATCCTTCACTATTATAGATTGATTGTAGAATAGAAAATTAATTATTGTATAATTCCTTGTGTATTGGTATTTTATCTTCCTGAATTCAAAAACACGCCAGAAAGATATGAACCATTTATTGTACGGTTGTTTATGTATATGTGTGTGTGTGTTTAGTCAAATGTTAAATTAAATCAATTATCTGTATTTTTTCTTGCAAGGTGACCCTAGAGCTAATCAACAGATACATTTGCCGGTCCTTCACGTGCTGTACCTTCGCGAACATAACAACATGGCCGTTGAACTTGGACGCCTAAATCCACATTGGGACGACGAGCGTATCTACCAAGAGGTTCGACACATCATGGCGGCTTCTGTCCAACATATCACCTTCAAAGAGTTCCTTCCTTTACTTCTTGGTGACGAAGTGGTTCACAGATTCAATCTTACCCTTCAACCAACGGTGAGTCCATGACTTTGGTCACTATGGTGAAACAAGTTTAATCTTATCCTTCAACTACAGATGAGTCTATGTTTGATATATTCTATATTTTACAGCATGGCTTAGTGGCTTAGCGCTTTGGACTGCGAGTTCGAGGCTGGCTTGCATCATGCTGTTGTGTCCCTGAACAAGACGCTTTACCCCACTTCTTTCAGTTTGCAGGCCGTATGATGGGTACCTAGATGTTATCTGGAGGTCCAGTAGGGAATGGGTTCCCATTCTCATTTGCTTGTGCCCCTCGGAATCGGAGTTCGAAAGCATGTGCTTTGCAAAGATACGCCCTCTATCGATACGTGTGACAAAAATATCTTCCAACCAAAAGTGGATCCACGTTTTGTACCAAAATTATTTCATCTTTGACAACTACCAAACACAAAGCTTTTTCTACAACTAAAGCCATCAGGACTTCCTTGTCCATTAAAATAAAACAAATATCTCGTCTTTATTCTGCTATCTAATATAATATTGATTTACATATAATAAACGAAAACTATAACTTTATGTTACGACTCATGAAAATATGTTTGTTTACCATAAGTAAAAACCATTCTCACATTTTTCCATTGAAGGATGAGTTTATTTTTGATATTAAAGTCAGATAAACATCACTTCTTTAATATATAAGCACTGGTTTAATATATAAGCATTGGGGCCTGTCGTGGCCTGTGGTTAGTGCGCTCTACTCGCAATTTTCAAGTTGGTGGTTCAAATCCAGTCACCGAACATACTCACCTTTTCGGTCGTGGGTAAATTATAATGTGGCAGTCAATTCGTTGGTAAAAGAGTAGCCCAAGAGTTGGCGGTAGGTGGTGATGACTACCTACCTTCCTTCTAGTTTCTCACTTTTAAATTAGGGATGACGAAATTCAACAAGCAAACAAAGTACAAGCGCTGAACAGAAAATTTACATTAAAACTATCACAAGTAAACCTAATTTTCAAACTCACTCTCGACGAAATATTGTTTGTTTTTGTTTAATTTCGCGTAAAGCTACACGAGGGCTATCTGCGCTAGCCGTCCCTAATTTAGCAGTGTAAGACTAGAGGGAAGGCAGTTTGTCATCACCACCCACCGCCAACTCCTGGGC